AAGGAAGCTCAGTGTGAAATGGGCTGAAGTGACAAGAGTGGACGAGGAATTAAAACTAACCAGAGATTGACCACAACATTCCACGGCAAAATGTCTCTGAATGCGAAAAAATGAAAGAATATCTTAGACATTGTAATGTGTCTTGTCCTTAAGTATGATTGAGTAACAAATTCACAACGGTCTACAGAGTTATACTTGAATTTAGTTGAAGCTCATGTTTGTTGACATCTGAACAAGATTAACGATTTAGTCTAAGGAGTAGTTGCAGATCTGAAAGAAACAGCGCAAATCTATTTTGTACAATAAGCTGAAGCAACCGAGGGCCTTGGCCAAGTAAGACGAAAGTCCTAAGCTGAACAAATGCGGATCAGCTTCGCTGTTGATGTTGAGCAAACCTTGCAGTGGGCAAAAGACTAGATGAAAGATGATTTAGCGTAGTGGGTTCGAGAAGTAATTTATGGATGAATAGCATGTTCAGATCGTTCCAAACGATCTGACTGGTATTCATAAACCGCAGCTGACGAATTACTGACGTCGAACAAGTACAATTTTCATTAGACGATTCATTAATTAAAGATAATTAATTAATGCTAGTTCGTTATAATCGAATTACGAATCTTTGGTCTAACGCGTCTCGAAATAATCCAAAGTACATATATCTGACAGAACCTAGGTGTACAACCGCTGCTTCTTCAATTTGAGGAATCACAGCGACGATTGTTTGGAGTTGCGAATGCTTTCAGAAAGTAAGGCGAAACAGCTAATGCTTGCGCAGTCCCTCGGCCGAGTAATTTGGAGACTGCTGAAAATAACTGTTGGCAAGTGTATGGAAGGACTTTGATCCAGACTCCGGTTGTCAGCACTGGCTGACACATCTGCCTCCGCGACCCGAAGGGACAAGGAAATTAATTGATTAATTATCATCAGTCATAACCATGAACCGAATGAAGAAAGGAAGGCGGTGACATAGTCTGAAGTCAATGCTGCAAACGCTTCTGTATAACTGTCAGCTCTAAACCGATGTTCTTGTGAACATCAACAACTGCATTGGCTGTAAACCCGAAAGATGAATTATCGGTACTCTATGAGATATTCGATTAGCTGATAAAGACAACATAAAAAATCTCTTCTCATTTTTCATGTACTCGCTGAACTACTCGTACGCGTCGATGATACCCTAATGGAGGGATTTGTCCCGTTGTGTAATTCGTTGTTTTGGAAGCTCGAAGGTCACTAAGCGACGACGTGCTTTTAATCGACCCACTCTTTCTGACTAAGGATACTTAAACAGATGACGATGAGGCACCAAAATGCTTTCAGGAACAAATGAGGAACTTCTCTCTCGAGATATCGCCCGTTGTTCCTCTAAAACTGTAGATTGTTCAAGTCTGAGGCCGCATCATCGATGATCAGATTTCGAAAAGCAGAATAAACAGGCTTAAAGCGAAAAGTGTTTTCACCTTCTATTGCATAAACATTGTTTAATCGTGGTTCAAAACTTACTTGATTCAGGCGATCGCAGACGACATAGGGCTCAAGAAGGCCATGGGCAACTTGCAGAAATCACAAGTGGATTCACCAAAATTCGCTGTAGACAATAACGGTAAGAACTTTGATTATGTGATATGATTGTTTCCCCCTCCACTACCAACCCTGTTTATTTTTGCCTATTATTACGTAAATGATCTCCAAAAGGTTGACCAACTGTGTTAGCCTTCCGCCCCAGGATATGGCTTGCTAAAATTATGGTAGTACATCCTCTCCCTCCATTTATAGCGTAGTTCGCTACATTGAAACTGACGAAGTCGAAAATAAAATTTCCATTAGTTTCAATGTGATAAATTGTCATTGATTCAGTTTACTTTAGTAAAATCTGGCAAAAAAATTGTCAACTGTACAGTCATAAAAATAGGGACAGTGTTACTTTTTATGATACTTGTTGGTTATTTAATCGTATGACGCATGTTTGAAGTGTAAACATTAACTAATTATTTACACTGTAAAGTATTTACCTTAGTTAAACCGTTATTTTTGAATTAAGTAGGAATTAAATATAATGACGCAGAAACTAAAAAGTAAAACCTAATTAGCATAACAAAGAACATAAGAATTAAGTATATATAAGACATTATATAAACATGGAGTAAGGAACCATCTTTGCTAGAACCTTAACTACCTTTGTTAGGATTTTAATATTCTGAAACGTAGAAGCAGATATACGTATAGATAGAAATTGCACCTTCGACGATGCAGTAGCCGGTGCCTTGCAGCAGATGCTGATTAGCTGAGAAGGCAGCGCGCGTAAGAAAGCAGTGACATTCTGCTTATGCAACCGGCTCTATATGACGATCACGGTAAACGAGCATAACACAGAGCTACCAATAAGCCACATGTTCTGCCTAATGTTATATTCCTATTTCTCCGCGTTCGTTATTTGCAAAGCGGACGCTCAACGCGAATTTGTTCTTCATCGTAGAAAAAATGGCTTTCGGTAATAGGGAGTTCATAAATCAAAGGGTAAGGGTACTCGTCTGTGGGTGCATTGACTGATCTAATGACGAACTCCATTCTTGTTACATCATATAGACTGCATGTTCAAATTGAGAAGGCATGACACCAAACCGACTGTGTACATCGCGCATTTGAACGGCAAAACTTGTCCGGGGTGTTACCATGCTGATTTTACTGGCAGAATGTTTGAAACCTTGACCTATTCGTTTCTGTTTCCCAGCCTCCTCTCTTTATGATCCATGTGCCCATTTGAAAAATGCTGCCCATAGTACGTTCGACCCCACTGCCCAAAACTTGTTTCATTTTAGCGGTCGACAACGATGAGATGAAGAACGTGCTTAGGAAACCGGAAATAAGCGACAAAGATGTGCATCAGCGAGCCGCAGCGCTGCAGGCCCCGTTTGACAATGACGTAAAGGCACTGAAAAAGAGGGACGACGATATCGACGTAGCCGACAAGGTAACGAGTAACATTTTCCAGTGAAGTGCAGGGTATCAGGTTTGTTCATTTAGGATGAGCAGGTGGATGGCGATGGAGCAGAGATTCAGCAAAAGCCGGTGGATCTTTTATTCGATGTTAAAAAAGGTAAGAATTTTTCGAAGCAAAATGCTTGATCACTGTATGCCATGCTGTACTTTATCCATTCATTTAAGACGAATATGTAAACAGCGACTATGATCGAGGTGCCGAAAGGGTTTAAGTAGGTTTGAGGTTTCCTTAAGCTTTTCGCATAACCTAATAGGTGGTTTCGTTAGGTGCAACAGTCGTCAAACGTCGTCTTCCAGGACTGTGATATTTAAAGTCTGCTTGTCGCCAGGATAAGTAAATGCAGGTGTATTGTTGTAATGCTAGTTGGGTTTGATTCGTTTGTTACTATGTGAAATATATTTGCGGCGTTGATGTTTACATAATTTCATTTTTCAACACTTGTTATTGCGGTTGTGTAGGAAAACGTTTGATTTCCATGCAAGTTAAATTTTTCTGCTTTGTCGTATATTACTGTGGTTTTCGATCGATGACTAAGCCTAAACATTTTATAGTCTTATAGACGTAAGGTCACCTAGTACGATGGCTGTAGGCATAAAAAATGCATAGGATACTTCACAGCTGTAAGTTTACGTTTCACATTGACCCTCAACATTCAGCCTCCTTTCCTAGTCTGAGGACCGTCACCTCTCAAATTTTTGGCTCTTTGGCAGTACTCCTAGGTTTATAGGAAGACTATATCGAAGCGATATTTGCCATACGGCAAATATTGATAGCCAAATATGAATGATATTTGCCGATTGGGGTACAGTTCGTCGGAATGTTTAAACCATATTCTCCAAGACTGTCCGAAGGTGCACGCTTTGAGAATAATGAGACATGATTACTAAAATATATTTTTTCATAAGAACTGATGTTGGACAGTAAATTTAAGACTGATATAAATATTTCCTAAAGGACTAACTCTATCCGCAAGTACCTAATTTGTTGCAATTCATTTCGATATCTCGTAACAACGAGAACAAGACAAAGTCCAAAGTAAGGGAATGTTGACGGATCAAAGTACGGTGGAGTGCATTCTTCTCATCTGTCACATTTACCGTGAATGACCTGTAAATGAACTCTGAAATGGAAATATAGTAACTTCCGACTAGCATCTTCCGAAACTGGTCTCCAGTGCTCCTTAGAAAGGATCACAGCCGAGTGCGACGTGACCGGCATGCGTGGAAACGCATCTAAAACGAAAAGCCTAGTGTTTTCTCATTCTCCTGCCCGTTGCTCTCTTCAGATTAACCGAGAGGCAGTAGAGCAGGTGGAGAAGTTCAAGTACCTCGGAACTGTATTTACTAGTGATGGAAAGTTGGAGGAAGAGATCGACCGGCAAATTGGAGTAGCCAGTGGCGTTCTGCGCGAACTAGCGCGACCCGTTGTGACGAAAGCAGAGCTCGGTCTGAAAACTAAGCTCTCAATATTGAAGTCGGTCTTTATCCTCATACTTACCTACGGTCATGAATCGTGGACCATCACTGAAAAACTCCGAAACCGGGTACAGCTGCTGAAATGGGCTTTCTTAGACGAGTCGTTGTCCTTACGCGTCTCGACATGGTCCGGAATAGTGACATCCCCAAGAGCCTTGGAATACAGCCTTTGCTTCTCCAGATCGAGAAGTCACAGCTGCGATGGCTTGGGCATGTGT